CGGCGCTAAAAAATCATTCATCAAGAACCCAATACCGGTATATTCAGTTGACATTCCTAATTTGAAAGAAATTTGCCCATCTTGACTGCGATCCTTCTCTGATGAATTAAAATAGCTGCCATCTTGAATTGGGTCAAGATATGGCCTAAGATTTATGGTATGTGATTGGTTTAGGCATGTCCAAGATACAGGTACAGATGGATGACCGCACAGAGGTGAAATACATGTATAAATCCCAGTTTCAAGACTTTGTATGATGTTAACGTTGACAAACCTGGAACTACTGGCTTCTACTAGAGTTATGTCGATCGGTGCTTGAGATCCTTCAGTGATAACCAATCCAGTATCATCACCTTGTAGCTTCTTATCAATATCACTCAGCATAGTATCCCATTCTTCCTATTAAAGCAAGAGTATCATATATTGTCATAAAAATGACCACACAATACGACAAACATGCTCCTGATTCTACCCAATTTGGCCAAGCATGATTGAAGATAGGAGCGAAATGGATTGCCAGCATAAATGGTTCCTTTTAATGTACATGTTGATCCGCCAAACAAACAAAATGAATAATTGGAGCTGAGTTGCATGCCAAGTGTTTTGTACTGTTGTATGGTGTGCAAAATTTCGTTAACACTGTCAAAGTGGGCAAAGTTGGCTCCATGGTCAATAATGAAGAAACTAGCAAATTAGAAGTAATGTATAACATAAACATAATATGTCTACAGTATGTGCAGGAAAGGAACTGTGTGAAGCACAATTATCAATGCAAATAGTGACAGAATCAGCAATTCATTTCGTGACATTATTAAGAACAATTACCTGAAAGTTTCATTACGCATATCAAAGCAGAATAGCTACTTGGTATAACACTTATATGCAAGGAATTTGTAATATTTGTAATGAAGATGCAATGTTTTATTCTCCCTTGGCATTATCAACTAAGGGCTGCATGGTGTCAGTCACGTACTTCATGCATCTAGCCATTGTTTTTGTTTTTTTTATTTATTTATTCAGCCAATTGTTATTTTCCCCAGACATCCAATTCTAGTCATCTGTGCTATCACGGTTACTAGTAACCGTGAACCGTGGTGCTATTAAATATCGCCTGTCAATTTATAAGAGGTCTCTCAAAATCATCGTCGGGACATCTTCAGCTGTTCACCAAAAACAAAGGAGGGTGCTCACGATAAATAGAGGGGCGCTAAAATAGAAAAAGGGGAACAAATAAATTATAGAGGGGCACTGCATTGTCTTGTACTTAGAAGTTAGTAGATTGAGGACATTTTTGATTTGCTATCAATTCAACATCCCGCCATTTGTTTTATATTCATTGCCATATGCTAGGACAACTGTGATAAGGCATATGTTTTAGATACACATGTATGAACCCCCAATCAGATCTATGTATTTACTGAAGTCAAATATAGTAGAATCATGCACAGGTTATGGGAAAATATGCTACATAAAGTTTTCAATAACGTATAAGTGTCATACTGAATGGTAAACAATTCTGTTGGTAAGAGAATTTTACACAATACTACTTTGTTTTAGTATGATATCAATTGTATGCAGCTGAATTCATTATATAAGACATATTGTCTCTATGTTTGAAAATAAATATTCATTTCTCACCTCAGCTTGCATTAAGTCTTCCTTCAACTCCTGGATATCAGAATATTGAAATGATGTTTTGAATAAATCATCTAATTGTGCCATGCAAGTTATATTCAACCTAAAATGAATGAATGAATGATTGTGAAATTAAAGGGTTAGACCCAAAAAATACATTCTGATCCTGCGATCTGCAGATTTGTTGCAAGATACAGAAATACAAAATCAGACTTTATACAGACAGCAAAGCTTTCCCAGACATCTGATTTAATACTGCATACTTAAAATTAATTTAGAAGCTTAATGCTCTTCGTAAAAAATTTCACCATTTGCATGATGATTTAAAATATTGCTTTGACTGTATTCAAATCATTGAATTATTTCACATTTACAATAATGTAAAAATTCTCCTGCTGTCTAGTGAGCATCTTAACACATTGCTGACAAGATGTACATTCCCCAACACATGATACAGATTATATTCTAGTATGTGATTAACCACTTTGAGTGCCAAACATAGACTTTTGTCACCTTTTACAAAATATTTACATAAATTTCTCAAAATTTTCCCAAAAATTTCGATAAAAACCTGTAGCCAATAAGAAATAATTTCCATTTGGTAAAATTAACCAAACTATGGGAAATACATAAAAATAGGCAGGATGTTGTATCAAAATTTTTGTAGAAAAAATTATGTAGTTTTCAACGGGTTAAAGGAAAGAGTTTTAGCAGCAATTATTTTCTTATGACGTTAGTAGAGGAAAGTACTAATACCGGTAGATAGAAAGCAATACCTGGTTAACATGGATGTATGGAGTGTCATTGCTGGTGCTAAATACTTTCCAGGTGATGCAATAAAATCTTCTATTGAATCTGGTGATGCAATATAAAAAGTTAGTTTTATAGTTACCATGAATAACATGAATGCTTTAAAATAATTTTTTTAAATATTTATAAAACATTATTCTTGTGCCTATTTCAAATCCAAATATTAGAATTTGAGAACACCCATTACACATGAGTATTTCCTATAATCATTGATTGTGATGTTTTTGATTACCATGACAATAAAATAAAATAAATTAAAATATTTATACAACAAACAATATCACATGTTGAAAACAAAATGAAGCCTGCTAGAAAGTTGAGTCTGCATGTTGCAGAATCCAAGACAAGATGGTTACAATGTGCCAATCACGACAGCAGTAGTAGAAAATTTAAAGTGCTTTGACCTGTGATGTTTTCTTAAATAAATGGCAATGCAACTTTCACATTTTGTAAATGTTTTCCTGAATGCAATAATTTATTTAAATGGGACAATCAATCCAGTTTTCTAGACAAGGGAATTAATTAGGGACTAATTTGTATACTTGTATACAAAATCTAATCAAGTCGAAAAATCTTGTAACTCTTGTGGGAAAATGTTGTATATATCTGTTGAAAGTTATAAACACAAAAGCAATCAATATAGCACATTTCTCAGAACATATCAAATTGTAATTTCAATCATTACATAAATGGTAAGAATTTAAGATTTTATTATTTTTTACCTTTAAGTTTTTTTTTTCAACTGCATGTTATAACAGTAAACCGTTTTATTTGTGTTGCTATAAATTTTTGTGGGAATTCGTGAGGATTAAATTTCATAAAAGTCATTGTGACTTAAAGTACACAATCAGTGATGATTGACTTGATGTTCAAATTCAAACAGTAACCTGATGCTCCTCGAATTCTTTGATGATACATCTGATCACATTTAACACATTCTGCTATGAAAAAAAAACATGTCAATTATATAGATCAACACTATGCACATTAAAGCTACTACTACTGGGGAAATTATTACAAAATTTCCAGCAACTTTTCAAGGCTATTCAAACTGCGTTTATATTCAGAATCACTTTCATTTCAATTGGATATTCCATTTTTGTAAATGCTGCTTTTTGAATGACAATGTGTGTTGATACTGTCAGCAGCAGCTGCTGCTTACTGAACATGTTTGAAGATTTCAGTTAAATCTGCTACAAAATTCTTCAGTTTTTTCCCATTTTATCTCATGCAAATTAAAAAAACTTTATTGTACTTTATACACACCATATGCAAATATTTGATTCCAATATCACTACAAGTTTAAATATGATAAATACTATAACTTTAACTGCACATTCAGCAGGCTGGGTGTTACCTTGAGCTTTCTGGCTTGCCTCTGTTGATAGTTTGTGAAGAGTCTTGATTGTTTCACCAACAACATCTTTCAGCTGATCTCTGATGGTAGATGCCATACCTGTATACTGTATTTTTTAATGTACTATAAATTAATGTGGAAGTGCCTCCCATCAGTCATTTGAAATCTGAGGAATTTGTTTTTCTTTGTAAATATTTTATTCAGGTGTACGAACAAAGTACCCATTACGGATTTTTTCTCTCTTTTATCCACAACATTTTTTTTCACCCCCAAGTTTTCAAATGGGTAGTTCCTTAAAACCGGTAACCATTGTCTCTTAATCTTTTATGTAAACTGCGCCGAAATTTGTGTGTGAAATGTGAACCTGAGGGTGGGTTTGTTTGTGGGTTCGTGGTAATGTATAACGAAATAATGACAGTCTCTCAGTA